CAGATCGATACGAATGACGCCGCCCTCAGGCATCGCCTCCATGGCGTTTTTCAGCAAATTGATAAAGACCTGCTTCAGCTGGTTCTCCTCGCAGTGAACGTCCGTCTCGGCTGTCTGGGAGGACATCACGAACTCAATACCGTGCAGATTGGCCTGACTGCTCAGCAGCGACAGCACATCCTCTAAAATATCACGAACATTTTTATTTCGGAAGTGCACAGCCTGGGGCTTGGCCAAAATTAAAAATTCGCTCACGATCAGATTGATTCTCTCCAGCTCAGACAGCATGATCTGGTTATGCTTCGGATCGACTCGGTTGTTATACTCCTGCAGCTGCAGGAATCCCCGCAGCGTCGTGAGCGGGTTGCGGATCTCATGCGCCACCCCAGCCGCCAACTGCCCGACCGTGGTCAGCTTCTCGGACCGGCGGAGCAGCTCGTCCATCCGGTTGCGTTCCGTCATGTCTCTTGAGATGCTGATGAACGATACGACCTTTCCTTCCGGATCCCTGACCGCGGACGTGCTGATGCTGACCTCCACAGGGGTCCCGTCCTTCCTGATTCGGACCGTTTCTACTGCCGGCAGCTGTTCGCCCTGCATTAAAGCGTCGAGCCTTGCCTGCACTTCCCCCTCCAAATGGCCGGGAACCAGGTTGATCCGCTTACCGACCACTTCATCGCTTGACCAGCCGTACAGCTTTTCAAAAGCTTGATTGACCTGAAGGATATTCCCCTCAAGGTCCGTCGTATGAATCGCATCCGCCGTCTGCTGGATGACAGACTCCAGATGCTCTTTCACCGAGCGGTTCTCTTCCACGGCCTGCTTGAGCTGGTCGGTATAGCTGCTCAGATTATCGGTCATCGTGTTGATTTTGGCGGCAAGCAATCCGAGCTCATCCTTGCTGTTGATGACGAGCGGCGTATCAAAGCGCCCCTGGGCGACGTTTTTCACTTTACCCAGAATCGCATCGATCGGCCGAATGAAATATCCGGCCTGCTTATAGCTTACAATGACGAATAAAATCAACAGAAAGGCCGAAATCGATATATAAGAGACAAGCTGCTTCTGCAATACCTTGGATATTTGCGCATAATCCATGACGATGCTGATGATGTAGGATGCCTGAGACGCACTGTTCACAGGGATAAAGCTCTTTAACAGCTTTTTACCATCGATGCGCGTTTCATAAACGACATTCGCTCCTGTCTGTGCCGCCTTCTCCACAGCCTGTTTGTCGTTTTCGAGGTCGATATATGTATAGGTACCGTAGCGTATCGGCCGATTATGCAGCTTAGTCTTATCATGGACATATCCTTGTCCGGACATTCGGACGCCCGCAAAGGTCTGCGGATTGATGCAGCTGATTTCAAGAATCTCCCCATTGATTTTCTTCGTTTTGTCGAGCACCTCCTCCGGACTCGGGATATGGGTGCCGATCTGATGGAGGGAATCGGTGCGAATATACGGATCAATGATATAGTTACGTTTGGCGTCATAATAATAACCCCATTTGTCGATCACGTTCGGCTTGGAGTTCGAATATTCAAACGGTCCGGTCCAAAAATGGTCGGCAGCCGCTCCGTACGGAATCGTTACGCGTTCTTGCTCGAAGAGCTGCTTAAACGCCTTATACCAGTATCCCCAGTCTTTGGTGGAGAGACCGAGCTCAGCAGGTTCCGAGGACTTGGCAATGATAATATCATCACCGGTTCGGACTAGCAGGGCGATATGGGTGACTCCCACCTGCTTGCTCAGCTTGGCCAGCTGCTCGTTCGTAATGTTCTGGATATCCGGGTCCAGCTCTTTGGCAGCCAATTTGGCAGCCACATGCAGAAGCTCCCCGATCTGGCGTTCGACCATGCCGGCGCTCTCCTGGCTCTGCTCAATGGAAGCGGCCACCTGCCTGGCTGCCAGCAGCATTTTGCGTTCGCTTTCCCGGCGTAAACTGGCTTGCGTTGTGTACAAACTAAGAATAATATTTAAAAGTAAAATCAGACAGAGTGAACCGGCCATGGTGAGGGACAGTTTCTTCTTCATTGACACATCGGGTCACCTCTAATCTTGCCTTGGCGATAATTGGAATAATCTATTCCATCATACTCTGTAGGCCGATATTTGAAAAGCTTGTCGAAAATGATCGGCTTAACTCGAAATAACGCAGCATGTCCACAACTTATCAACATATTCACAGCACCATTTAATAAATTGGGGATAATTCTGTGCGTAATCAAATAGTTATCCACAATTTTATGCACAGCATGTTAACAATAGAATGCTTGTTCGCTGAATAAGCCGAAATTCGGTATAGGGAGGCACTTTTACGTTGGAAAATCAAACAAAACATCCGCTTCATGTGGATGAGTCTGTGGATAATGACCGTCATGAACACTGGATGCGCGAGGCGATCCACCAAGCCAAATTGGCGGAGGAGTTGGGGGAGGTGCCGATCGGCGCGGTCATCGTCCGTAACGGGGAAATCATCGGGCGGGGCTATAACTTAAGGGAGACGTCCCAGGACGCGACCGCCCACGCTGAGATTGTCGCCATCCGGGAAGCCAGTATCGCCGTACAATCGTGGCGCCTGCTGGACTGCACGCTATACGTCACGCTGGAGCCGTGTCCGATGTGCTCCGGCGCGATCGTCCAGTCCCGCATCCCGCGGGTCGTCTACGGCACCTACGATCCCAAGGCGGGGTGCGCCGGGACGCTGATGAACCTGCTGCAGGAGCCGCGCTTCAACCACCGCACCGAGGTCATTGCCGATGTGCTGCAGGAGGAATGCGCTGGGCTGCTGACCCAATTTTTCCGCAAGCTGCGGGGCAAAGCCTGACACAAACAAACAGCCCGGCCAGTAACCCTGGCCGGGCTGTTGTGATTCGTACGGGGGCTGCTTAGTAAGCCGTAGCTCCCATTTTCTCCTGAAGCTGCTCCATCGTAATAACATCCGCTTCTTTTGGAATGCCGATGCTGAAGGTTTGCTTCTCATTGATCTTGCTGTATTGGCTCGTCGCCTCAAGCGACAGCTTCATGTTGTCCTTCGTTTCCGGATCGTTCATTTCCACGTTCATAACAGCACCCTGATAAGCAGGGAAGTTATCTTTATTGATGGCTGTGTTGACTTCGAACTGGTTAACTTTCAGGTAGTTCTTCAGATCGTTCAGACCTTTGCTGATTTCATCCTTGCTGTCGGTCGAGTTCAGATCCTTCTTCATTTGGTCGATATCTTCCTGGTTGACGCCAAGCATCTCACGGTACTCATCCTTGCTGATAATATCAAGGATTTTCGGCAGCGCCTTGTTCACCAGAATGTCAGCCGCTTCTTTCACGCTGTCATTGGTTACATAGAATTGAACGACCTGCTTGGCATCCACGCCATCCGGGAGGTTCGCGTCTTTAACTGCAACGTCTTTGAAATATTTCTTACCATCATATTCGGTAAACAGAGTATTCATAATTTCGCCGGCGAGCTTCTTCGTCTTTTCGGGATTCATCATGTCGGGGTTAAAGGACGTTCCCTGCTGTTCCGCCAGCTCTTTCATATCGAGTACCAGGAATTTACCTACAACGTCTTCAGGCAGCGGCAGCATCGGAATGCTAGGCACTTTGACGTACAATTTATCTTGGGTCATTACCATCGGAATGTTAAAGCTCATGGACATGTCGCCCTTCAGGTTAATTCCGAGCGTCATCTCCGTTTGTTGTGGATCGTTCTGATATACCCCATCGATCGTCAATTCCGCATTTTTCAGCATGCTCATCACTTGGCTGGCTGCGGCGTTATCAGCACTTGCACTGGTAACCTGCAGATCTTTAATCGTTACCTTGCTCTTCATTTCGTACGATGTCATTTTCATCGCGTTGACGGCCGAAGCCTCCAGCGCTTCCTTCGGTTCCTTCTTGCTGCTGCAGCCTGCAAGCACCACGGTCATTGCCAAGACCAGCGTAAGAATCAGGGCTGCCCATTTCTTCTTCATCACAATCTCTCTCTCCTCTCGTCTCTAAAAAGCAAAAAAATACCCCTTGTAATCATAAACGATATCGTCCGTTACCGGAACCCTTTTTTGGAAATCTTTTGGTGAATTTTCATTTTTAACGCAAAAAAAGACATCCTGGCTATTAGCCGGATGCCTTTTTAGACGGGACCTTAGGACCCTTCTCTATTCAAATGACTAACATGATTCCGATTCTTGACCTTCTTCGATCCGGACAACGGCTCCTGCATGCCGGACCGCTCCCGGTCCCGGTTACGCGGCTGCTGCTCTTGCGCTTCAGGTACCGGAACAGCGTTTGGTTTACTCATCGGCGATTCCCCCTGTATACATTAGAATGTTAAGAATGCGGATGCTCCAGGTCGATCGTGTGCTGATGATTGATTTCCTGTTCATGCCTGCGATCATTTCGCTTCTGCTGCAACTGATTTGCCTGATGACTGTTTACTGCCGTTTGATCTAAATCCTCGACGACATTGCTGAGATTTTTGTCGACACCCGGTTTGGCTTTGGTCATCGTTGTCCCTCTCTTCTTAAGAGTGATGCGTCAAATCGTGAAGGGCTTGGGCGCACTCGTGAATTTGGCGGGTGTAATCCTGCGCCATATTCTGAATGACATCCGTGCGTTCGTCTACCGTGCGTCCTTCGCGTTCTACATCCACCAGATCCACTTTAACCTCTCGTGTATCCACGTAGGAGCACTGGAAGTCGAAAGAATACTTCGACCGTCCCGCGGTATCGATATGGATCCGCAGCGCCTGGGGATTTGCCTCGTCGGCAAACACCTGTGCCTGGTCGGATGAGTCAAGCGTTTGAGGAAGCTGGGATTGCCAAGCTTGGACCAATTTGTTTTGGTTCAATTCAAAGTCTCGGTTCATGATTGAACACCTCCCCTGCCTTTGTTAATGTGCGGAGGATGCGCTCTTTTTATGCGATAACGCCGTTTGGCAAAAACAAAAAAAGCCGCTCCTGCATAAGCAGAATCGGCTTTGTCATTGGTTGTTTAAATGGCGGAGGGGATGGGATTCGAACCCATGTGGACTTGCGCCCTAACGGTTTTCAAGACCGCCCCGTTATGACCGCTTCGGTACCCCTCCACGTGGAAAATACATCAGTGTCACGCAACGCGTAACAAAAATATATTACCACAGTTTAATGCTAATATCAACCCTGGCTTTTAGGGACAATAACTTTAACATTACCCATATAAGGCTGAAGCACATCCGGAACGACCACGCTGCCGTCCGCCTGCTGATAATTCTCGAGAATGGCCGCCACGGTCCGTCCTACGGCAAGTGCCGATCCATTTAAGGTATGCACAAACTCAGGCTTGGCCTTAGGCTCAGGACGGAAACGGATATTAGCCCGCCGTGCCTGGAAGTCCTCTGTATTCGAGCAAGAGGAAATTTCCCGGTACGCTCCGCTCTCAGGCAGCCAAACTTCCAGGTCGTACGTTTTTGCCGCCGAGAAGCCCATATCTCCCGTGCTGAGCGCCATCACGCGATACGGCAGCTTCAGCAGCTGCAGAACGCGCTCCGCATTTGCCGTCATTTTCTCAAGCTCTTCATAAGAGGAATCCGGATGCACAAGCTTCACCAGTTCCACTTTATTGAATTGATGCTGGCGGATCAAGCCACGTGTATCACGTCCGGCAGAACCGGCCTCCGAACGGAAGCAGGAGCTGTAAGCCACGAAATGCTTCGGCAGATCCTCCACCGATAAAATTTCATCACGGTAATAGTTGGTCACCGGCACTTCAGCGGTTGGGATCAAATAATAGTCCGTGTCACGGATTTTAAACAGATCCTCTTCAAACTTCGGAAGCTGTCCGGTCCCGCGCAGGCTGTCCCCATTGACGATATAAGGCGGAAGCATTTCCTCGTAACCATGCTCGCTGCTGTGCAAATCCATCATAAAGTTGATGAGCGCACGCTCCAGACGGGCACCGAGCCCCTTGTAGAACGTAAACCGCGAACCTGTAACCTTGGCTGCCGCTTCAAAATCAAGAATGCCCAGGTCCTGGGCCAGATCCCAGTGGGCTTTTGGCGTAAAATCAAACGTTGTCGGTTCCGACCACCGGCGCAGCTCCACATTGTCTTCTTCGGACTGGCCGACCGGTACCGATTCGTGCGGAATATTCGGAATGGCCATCGTGAGATCAGAAATAGACGCCTCCAGTTCGCGCACTTCCTCGTCCATCGCTTTGATCTGATCGGAAACCTGACGCATTTCCAGAATAAGCTCGTCGGCGTTCTCCCCGTTCTTTTTGCGCTTGGCTACTTCACCGGAAACGGTGTTGCGGCGGTTTTTCAGCGCCTCGCTCTCCTGCAGCAGCTCCCGGCGGCGGGTATCCAGCTCGGGAAATCCGGCGATCAAATCCAGCGACTTGTTCCGGTTTTTGAGCGCCTGCTCCACTCTAGCGAAATCACCGCGTAATATTTTCACATCCAACATTGGACAATTCCTCCTAAAAAGAAAAACGTCTTATGCGACGTACTTCCATGATGAGACCTGCGTGAATCAAAAAACAACCCTGACCCCTTGAAAGGTATCCTCGGACCGCAGCTCAGGCCGCCAACCGAGGAATACCTTTTACCTAAAGCTTACCCATGAGGCAGCGTTTAGATATCATCAAAAGAGTCAAGGTGTCATCGTGTTACCATCGTTTATCCTGCTGATTTAAGACGCTTGACTGGCTTTTACCATATCCACAAAATACTGATGGAGCCGGTAATCATCCGTCAGTTCGGGGTGGAACGAAGAGGCGAGCAAATGGCCCTCTCGCGCGGTCACAATCTCATCGTTATAGGAGGACAGTACGTCGACTCCATCGCCCACACTGCGGATCAGAGGAGCACGGATAAAGACGGCACGAACCGGTTCCTCAATCCCCTTGACGTCCAAATCTGTTTCAAAGCTCTCCCGTTGACGTCCAAAAGCATTGCGCGCCACGGTGATATTCATCAGCCCCAAGTGGGGCTCTTCCTGGCCTTCGATCGACTTCGCCAGTACGATCAATCCGGCACAGGTGCCAAAAATCGGCTTGCCTGCATCCGAAAATTGGCGAATCGCTTCAATAAACCCGTATTTCCGCATCAGCTTGCCGATGGTCGTACTTTCGCCGCCAGGAATAATCAGGCCCTGAACTTGCTCCAGTTCCTCTACCTTTTTAATGGCGATACCTTCAGCGCCGGCCAGCTCGATGCTGCGAATATGCTCTGCTACGGCACCCTGAAGCGCCAGTACCCCGATTTTCATATGTCCAGCCTTCTCTCTCTTACCAGCCCCGGTCCGACATCCGCTCAGACGGGCTCAGCTTCGAAATCTCAATGCCTTTCATTGGCGCACCCAGGTTTTTGGATACTTCGGCAATCAGCTTGTAGTCTTGGTAATGCGTTGTTGCTTCCACGATCGCGCGGGCAAACTTCTCTGGATTATCGGATTTGAAAATACCCGATCCCACGAATACCCCGTCGGCTCCCAAATGCATCATCAGCGCCGCGTCGGCTGGGGTAGCCACGCCGCCCGCAGCAAAGTTAACGACAGGCAGCTTGCCGCTCTCGTGCACACCAAGCAGAAGGTCGTATGGTACGCCAAGGTTTTTCGCTTCGGCAAACAGCTCGTCCTTCGACATGCTTTGCACTTTACGGATTTGACTGTTGATCAGGCGCATATGACGAACGGCTTCAACAATGTTGCCTGTTCCCGGCTCGCCTTTCGTACGGATCATCGACGCGCCTTCGCCGATGCGGCGCAGCGCTTCTCCCAGGTCTTTGGCGCCGCAAACAAACGGCACGGTGAAGTCCCATTTGTCGATATGAAATACTTCATCGGCAGGCGTCAGAACTTCGCTCTCGTCGAGGTAGTCGACGCCGAGGGATTCAAGCACTTTCGCTTCCACATAATGACCGATACGGGCTTTCGCCATAACCGGAATCGATACGACTTTCATAACCTCTTCTACGATCGTAGGGTCAGCCATACGCGCTACACCGCCGGCAGCACGAATATCCGAAGGAACGCGTTCCAATGCCATAACGGCAGTTGCGCCCGCAGCTTCAGCGATCTTTGCCTGTTCGGCATTCATGACGTCCATGATGACGCCGCCTTTTTGCATTTCAGCCATACCTCTTTTAACTCTCGAAGTTCCCGTTTCCAATGGTTTACGCCTCCCGAAATATATATCATGTAATCCGCCCTTGCCTATGAATGGCAGGATGGTTGCATACTCTGCAGAGCTGCTTTGGTGGACTAAAGCAAAAATCTTATATTGATCTTAAAAAAGATTTTTGATTCCGTCAAATAAATCACCAAACATTTCCTTAATGGCGCGGAAGAACAGGCGAAGCCAGCTGCCCTTCTCCACTTCGTCCGATGTGATCAAATTGACGGTTTTCGTCTGAGGCTTCTCAATCCCATCTGCTTTATAGGTATAAGTGATGGTGCCGACCTTGGTTCCCTGCTTGATCGGAGCCACAAGCTTGTCCGCCGGCTCAAGCTGAGTTTTGAAGGTAACGCCTTTGGCATCGGAGCCTTTAGGTACCATAAAGGAGACGGGGGCATCCGTTACGACACCGACCGAAGTTTTGACGCCTTTTTTGACCTCAACGGAGTCCAGACCTTCAACCTTGGATTTGCCGGCCACGGCCTGCTTGATCTCAAAGTTGTTGAAGCCGTAATCAAGCACCTTGCGGGTCTCGGTAAAGCGCTGTGCTTCCGATTTCGTTCCCATGACGACGCTGATCAGGCGCATCCCATCGCGTTCGGCCGTTCCCGTAAAGCAGTTGCCGGCGTTATTGGTATGACCCGTCTTAAGGCCGTCCAACCCCGGGTAGGCGTAAGCCTTAAAGTTCGGAATATCCTTATTCGCTTCAAGCATCCAGTTCCAATTGATGATCGGATTTTTATCGCGCGGACGGAATTTATAGGATTGGATCGCCGTATATTTGGAAAAATCCGGATGGTCCTGGACGATATGCTTGCCCAGAATGGCAGCGTCCATCGCGGACATGACCGTCTCCCCTTCAGCCGAAGGACGATACTTCTCAGGCATATCCGCACGGTCGAGCCCAGTGGAGTTGATAAAGTGGGCTGTCTTCATCCCGAACTTCTTGGCCGTTTCATTCATTAGCTTGACGAATTCCTGTTCAGACCCGGCTGCATACTCAGCCAGCGCTACGGTAGCATCGTTCGCCGAACCTACCGCCATCGCTATGTACAGTTCCTCAACGGTATGTTGATCATTAGCATCTAAAAAAATACGCGAGCCGATCGTCTTGGAAGCATTATCGCCAACGGTCACGACATCGTCCCATTTAAACTTGCCCTTTTTGACCATATCTGCGATGAGATATTCGGTCATCATCTTGGTCATACTGGCTGGCGGCAGTGGTTGATCCGCGTTCACCGACAAGAGGACTTGCCCCGTCGTTGGTTCGATCAACACGGCGGATCTCACTTGAAGCTGCAAAGACGATACGCTTGGCACCTTGCTGGCCGTAGTAGTCGATGCGGTATTCGTAGTGGTCGTTGTTGCTGTTGTTCCCTCCGCCAAAGCCATGGCCGGTAGAGCGGACAGCATTAACATATTCAATAGCATAACCGAGGCTACGCTCTTTTTGACAAAGTGACGTTTGCGTTTGTGCGAAGATGGTTTCCCCAACTTGCTCCATTTCTTACTCAATGAATTGTTAACTCCCCTCTTGCCCTTAAATCTTACTTGTCTATTCTAACACAGGGTATACTGCAAAAAAAGACAGACAGGCCTAATTTAGGCCTGTCTGTACAAGAAGATGTTGGTTTTGTGCAAACCGTGTCGAATATTACAACGAGTAGTTTGGAGCTTCTTTCGTGATCTGCACGTCGTGCTGATGGCTATCACGAAGGCCCGCACCCGTGATGCGGATAAATTGGGTATCTTCACGCAGCTCCTGCAGGTTTTTCGTTCCGCAATAGCCCATGCCTGAGCGGAGACCGCCGATCAGTTGGTGAATCGTGTCGGACAAAGGACCTTTATAAGCGACGCGGCCCTCAATTCCTTCCGGAACGAGCTTCTTATCGTCGTCCTGGAAGTAACGGTCCTTACTGCCTTGTTTCA